GGCTGTCCTGGGGCAGCCGCGGCTGCTGCTGGGGGAGGCGAATCCCGCCGCTGCCGCTTCTCTCCCAGCCCTGTTTCAGCACTGGGGTGCAGGAGGAGCATTCCTGGGCTCGGGAATTCTGCCTGTCTCCCTTCTTTGGCGGTGGAATGCTGCTCAGTGGGTTTGCTGGGACCCTCTGCAGAGCATCCCTGTCCCTAGAAAGCCTGGCTTTTCAGCGGTCCCGTCTGCCCTGTGCTCTGCAGCAAAGAAACAGGGAATTGACCTGGCTTCCCTCCCCTCTCTGCTGGCACAAGGCTCCCTAGAAAATGGGTGATTGGGGATTCCTGCAGAAGCTGCTGGACCAAGTCCAGGAGCACTTGACCGCGATCGGGAAGATCTGGCTCACCGTGCTCTTCATCTTCCGCATTCTCATCCTGTGCTTGGCCGGGGAGTCCGTCTGGGGGGACGAGCAGTCGGACTTCGAGTGCAACACCGAGCAGCCAGGCTGCACCAATGTCTGCTATGACAAAGCCTTCCCCATCTCCCACATCCGTTACTGGGTGCTCCAGTTCCTCTTTGTCAGCACCCCAACGCTGATTTACCTCGGCCATGTTGTCTATCTCTCCCGGAAGGAGGAGAAGCTGAAGCAAAAGGAGAGCAAGCTCCGGGCAATCCACAGCAAGGACCCAAAGATTGAGCAGGCCCTGGCAGCTGTGGAGAAGAAGATGTCCAAGATCTACATGACGGACGATGGGCGGCTCGAGATCCGTGGGGCACTGATGTGGACGTATATTATCAGTGTGATCTGCAAGAGCATTTTTGAAGCTGGCTTCCTTGTCGGCCAGTGGTACCTGTATGGCTTCTCCATGGTGCCCCGCTATGTGTGCAAGAGGGACCCTTGCCCCCACCAGGTGGACTGCTTCATCTCCCGCCCTACTGAGAAGACCATCTTCATCATCTTCATGCTGGTGATGGGCCTGATCTCCTTAATCCTGAACCTCCTGGAGCTTTTCCACCTCTGCTTCAAGATCATGCTTAGCAACATCAAGAAGGTGTCGGGGCCAACCACCCTGAGCCAGGACACCTTTGCTGATGACATGGTCTCAGGTCCCTATGCCCCCAAGCATTACCCTTTCCTGCCCATGGCTGAGAGCCACACAACATCCTACCAAGCCTACAACAAGCTCTCCAGCGAGCAGAACTGGGCCAACTTCCGCAATGAGGAGAACCTGGTGCTGGGCAGCAGACCCTTGTCAGACCCCTATGCCCCCAGGGCTGCTGAAGCCCCTGCCCCAGAGGACAAGCTGTGCAGCCGGCCTGGGAGCTCAGCCTCCAAGAAGCAGTATGTCTAGTGCTGGGCTGGCCCCGGCCAGCAGAAGGGACCTTCCTTGGTCCCTCGTGCTGCAAAGGTGCTGGCCCTGGGCAGGCAGCTCCCTCCTGCCTGCTGCTGTGCTGGACAGTGGGTCACCCTCCGGAGATCCTGCCCGCAGAGACCTGCCTGCCCCTGGGACGTGAGGCTGGGGAGCAGGGCTGAGAGCTGCCCCGGAGCGGAGCCTCCGCAGACCCGGCAAGGAAGGAAACTGTGGAAAGTTCCCTGGGACGCTGTGTCCCGTGTTCCTGGCCATGGGAAAGGGAGAAATCCCTGGGGCTGTGTGGCTGGGAACAGGCTGTCCCTGAGGCTGGGGTGGGAGGTTGCTGCCCTTTGGGAGCCACAGCTCTGCCAGCCCCCGGGGCTTGCTGGAGCCCCCACTGGAACTAGAGCCGGGCGTGTGGCCGTGGGAAGCCACCCACAGGGACTGGACTGAGCCCGGGAGAGCTGTGGGGAGCTGGGCCAGAGCAGCACTGCCTGGGGTCTGTGCAGGAGCAGCCCCTGTCCCATGGGGGGTTAAGCCAGCAGCAGCTCATAGCCAGGGCTCTGCAGTGACCAGCTGATCCCAATGGCTGCAGGGTCACTGCTTGGGTGCCCTGGGAGTGTGAGCCCTCCCCCCTCGAGTCCTGGCCCTGGACCCTTTCCCATGTGATATGTGTCTCTAAGTTATTTTTAACTTGTTGGCCTGAGCATGGAGCTTTCTTGCCTTAAAGGTGCAGTTGTGCAGGGGAACTGGGGAGCTGTGTCCAGCCTGGCTACACACCCTTGAGCCCTGTGCTTTTCTGGGGAGGAATTAGCCTAATAACTGCTGGTTCGGGGTGGAGGGTTATTTGTTTTATTACTTTGCACTAAGTCATCTCCTGCTGTGGGTCAAGGTGCTGGGGAGGGGGATGGAAGAACCAACTGCTGCTCCACATTCCCCAGCCCATAGATGCTGTGAAAGGGGAAGGTCCTGCTGTGACTGAGGGGCTGCGGGTCCTGCGTGACCCAGGCACAAGCACGGGATGTGGGCACTGCCCTCAGTGCTGTTTCCTCCCCCCGACCCCGCTCGGCAGACTCAGCGTTGCGTCATGTTGAATAAAGTTGAATGAAGGAAAAAAGGTGAAGGATGGTGTGACTGTGCTTCCTGCAGCCCCCAGCCACCTCAGGGCAGGGGGTGAGGTTTGGGGCTGGGCTGAGGGACAGGGGACCTGCTCTATGGTGGGCAACAGGGCTGGGTGAAGGGGAGACTGGGCACCCAGCTGCTGCCACTCACTGGGTGGCCCAAAGCAGGGCTCAGCCCTGCAACCAGCCTGTGCCCTGGCTCTGCTGCAGACAAACCCTGCTGCATAATAGGTGGAAATGAGGCACAGATAAAGGCACACAATGCAGCTGGGGCTCTTGTATAGTTTCTCTGGCCAAGGCAGCCTGGGATAGAGCCTGCTCTCAGCTGAGGGCCTCTTCAGCAAGGGTGGGACAGACTAAAAATACCCTGGGGAAAATGAAATATGGGTGTCTGAGCATGGAGCTTTCTTGCCTTAAAGGTGCAGTTGTGCAGGGGAACTGGGGAGCTGTGTCCAGCCTGGCTACACACCCTTGAGCCCTGTGCTTTTCTGGGGAGGAATTAGCCTAATAACTGCTGGTTCGGGGTGGAGGGTTATTTGTTTTATTACTTTGCACTAAGTCATCTCCTGCTGTGGGTCAAGGTGCTGGGGAGGGGGATGGAAGAACCAACTGCTGCTCCACATTCCCCAGCCCATAGATGCTGTGAAAGGGGAAGGTCCTGCTGTGACTGAGGGGCTGCGGGTCCTGCGTGACCCAGGCACAAGCACGGGATGTGGGCACTGCCCTCAGTGCTGTTTCCTCCCCCCGACCCCGCTCGGCAGACTCAGCGTTGCGTCATGTTGAATAAAGTTGAATGAAGGAAAAAAGGTGAAGGATGGTGTGACTGTGCTTCCTGCAGCCCCCAGCCACCTCAGGGCAGGGGGTGAGGTTTGGGGCTGGGCTGAGGGACAGGGGACCTGCTCTATGGTGGGCAACAGGGCTGGGTGAAGGGGAGACTGGGCACCCAGCTGCTGCCACTCACTGGGTGGCCCAAAGCAGGGCTCAGCCCTGCAACCAGCCTGTGCCCTGGCTCTGCTGCAGACAAACCCTGCTGCATAATAGGTGGAAATGAGGCACAGATAAAGGCACACAATGCAGCTGGGGCTCTTGTATAGTTTCTCTGGCCAAGGCAGCCTGGGATAGAGCCTGCTCTCAGCTGAGGGCCTCTTCAGCAAGGGTGGGACAGACTAAAAATACCCTGGGGAAAATGAAATATGGGTGATATCGCAGCCATTGGCCTCTGGAGGAAGCAGAGAGGGAGGCACCCGCCTGCACTACCCTTGGTGCACAGCCTGGGCTGGTGGCTGAGCCTGCCCTTGGCTCCACTCCCTGCTGGGGTTGGGAGGGTGAAATCCTCTGGCGTGGAGGTCTGGGGGGCACAGTGCCAGTTCTCAGCTCTCCCCTGCACCTTCCATCAGGGTGTTGGGGCAGATCCTTTCCAGGTGGACCTTGCCTTGCTTCCACTGACTCTGCAGGAACCCTGCCCTGCTCCCACTCATACCCAGTGGGGACCCCCCTGGGACACCCCAGTGCAATGGGGGACCCCAGCCCAAGTCCCCACAGTGTTGAGGCTTTCTGGGTAGAGCAACTCGGCCAGGAGGAAAAGCCCATGTGAAAGGTAATGGTGCAGCCACGCCACATGTTTACCCGCCGGCTGCTCTTCCCCTCGCTCCCCTTCCCTGGGCTGATGTTTTTATTGGCACCAGGGGAGCATCACGCTTTTCCAAACATCCCTGCAAGGTGGAAAACAAGGCAACCGAGACCCCCCGCCTCCCACCCCCCTTGCCTGGAGCCAGTGCCCGGCTGCTGCGCAAACACCGCTCCATGTCCCGCTATTGTTCCCCTGTTGTGACAAGACAGCTCAGGGTGGCCGGTGTGACCCACGCCGCTGGGACACACGTGCCAACAACAACACGCAGGGGCTCACCTGTGTGTAGGGGCTGGGGAGGGGGCAGCAGCCCCCCTCGAAATGCGGGCAGGCAGCCCTTAGGCAAACAAAAGTTTGCAGCTGATAAGGACACAGGCTGGTCTGGCAAAGCCCTTTGGCACAGCCTGGGGACACAGAGCGGCTGGCTGGACACACACAGCCTTTCTCACACCTCTGTGCTCCCTTCTCAGTAAACAGGACCCTCTGGTCCCTTTCTGGGAACAACACTTGCTGCCCCAATACTCACCTCTGTTCTGTGATGCTGAACCCCCATGGACAGCCTGGAGGCTGCAATGAGGGGGCTCCCCGTGAGCTCTGGGATAATGTGAGCACAGCCCTGGGTACTTGCTGTGCTGCATGGACACTGGGACCTGCCACAGCCCACCACAGGGAGAGGAGCCATGAGGACTCCTCTGAGCCATGTCGAGCCTGTGAGGCTCTTCCCGAGGTGCTGGCCGAGCACCAAGGAGTCTATTTTTAAGCCTTCCCAGCAAACAGAAAATAGCAAGTGTCTAAATCTGACCTGTTTGCAGGAAGAGCCACGGCGGGAGAAGAATTGCAGCTGAGAGGGGAGGAGGGGCAGAGGGCTGGGCAGGGGGATGCCACAGCATGCCCCATCCATGCCCAAGGCTCTGCTTGGGGGGGGTTCCCTGTTTCCTGCAGCCTGTCTGGGGAAGTGGACATGGGCAGGAGCATCCTGCAGGGCCAGGCACAGACCCCCAAGGCCCAGCACCCTGTGCCGGCAGCACCCACCGTCGAGGCAACACCAAACCAAGTAGAATCCTGCCTTTCTCAGTGCCACTGCCAAAGGTGCCCAACAAAGGCAAAGCAAACCCCAAGCAGCTCCCTCCCTCTCCGTTAGTTATATTTATCCCTCCACACACGGGCACAAGACAATGCGGCCCCGGCAGGCGGGAGGAAACGCAGCTCAATAGCCCCAGAACTTCCCGCATCCTGACATTGTCGCCCCCCCCTCCAGCCACTTCCTCGCATGGAGGCAATGGGACCGCGGTGCCCAGCACCCCATGCCCACCCCAGGGTGGGTCCTGTCCCTGCCAGCAGCTCAGGTATAGTCCCAGTGCCACACCAGGAGGGCAGGAGCTGCTGCCTGCACAGCCAGGGCTTCTTCCCGGCCTGAGGAAGTCTGTGGTGTCTTGAAGTGAGGAGCTGTGGTGGCCTCGTGGTGCTGTGGATGGGGATTCAGCCTTAAAATGTGGCTGATGCTGAGCGGGAAGTGTCCTGGTGCAGCTGCCCCTGACCAGAGCTTCAGGGTGTGTTGTGATGCAAACCAGAGCTGCCCCTCTCACACAGCACTTGTGGCCCTAGAAAGGAGCCCCTGGGGACAGCGCAGCAGATCTGCACCGCAGGGCAGTGCAGGAAGAGGCGAGACAGGGAGGCTGGGAAAGGACTCGGCTGCTCTCAGGGAAAGGGCAAAACGGGAGCCTGGGAAAGGAGCCTGGGCTGGGCGGGCAGGGAGGGGGTGTCCCGGGGGCTGCAGGGGACGTGCCACGGGGAGGATGTGCCATTTGCTCCCCAGTGCAGCCAGGGTGAGCGCCCTCTGCGTCCCAGGGCTGTGGGGACATCACAGTGCACACAGGTCCTGGGCACCCCAGGGTGACTGTGCTGCTCCAGGGCAGGACACAGGAGTGTCAGTTCCTGTGGATCCCCTTCCAGCCCCAAATGCTGCTCCTCTCTTTCCCAAAGCATCCTTGCTCCAGGCCTTGCTCCCAATGGCTCTGGGCAGCCCTGTGCCTGCACAGGGTCACATTGTCCCCAGCCCCGTGCAGCTGCTTCATCCCTGCTCTGCTCTAATGGGACATCCGCTGCAGCTGAGCAGCCAGGGGGGCCTCACTGCCTGCACAGCAGCTGTCCTTGTCCCCTGGGCCAAGTCCCAACAAGCTGGGGCACCGCTCACTCCCCAAGTGGCCCCAGCTCACAGCACAGCAGCAGCTGCTGGATTCCACCCCTGCTCCATGGCACAGAACAGCCACAAGAGCCCCGGCCGCAGGGACATCCCCCAGCCCGGACAAGCCCTGGGAAGGTGCTGTCCCACCAAACGTCAGCCTCCAGGTTGGCATGGGACTCCCTGGACATGCTGCTGGCACAGCTTCTCGCCACGCTCCTGCTGCAGCACTCAGCTGTGCTGGGAACAGCTGGATGACAAATACGAGGGCCCAGAGCGAGGATGTGAGCTCGAGCAGTTGTGCCCAGGCTAGGCAGGCAGGTTTTACCATACTAGTTATTCAACAATGCTTCCTCTTGCTCCTCATGAGCCCCCATGGCTGCTCACCCCAGCCCCAAGTGCTCACCAGCTCCTATTCCTGTCCAGCCGGAGATTCCCAGGCAGCACATTGTTGGGATTCAATGGGAGGAAGGGTGGGTTTACAGCACCGAGGGCTTAGGAGAAAGGCAACCAGTATGTGGGAAGAGGCTTCACCCCTGCCCCAGCACCTGAGGGGAACCAGGGACCCCCAGCACCACTGGTGTCTGCCATGGGGATGGACAGTCCCGGGCACATGGAAACCAGCTGGAAATGCTGCTGGAGCAGGGCAGGGGCTGCCCAGCCTGGTGCCATTGGAGCTCAGTCTTCCCAAAGGTTTTGCTCCAGCACCACACCAGAGCAGCCCCCCCCGACCCACACCGGGAGGGCCCAGGGGAGGAAACAGGGCAGCGAGGCCCCGACAAAGCCCAATTGTGCCCAGCCAGGCCTGGGAACAGGCCGGTCAATGGGCTATAAATAGCCGAGGGAGCCGCTCGGTCGCGGGGTAACAAAGGCGTTTTGGAAGACGTTTCCGAGCTGGGTCCGGGCTGGAGGAAGGGACAGGACCATTCCCACCCCAGCACACAATAGGGAACAGCCATCACCCTACAGCCAGGCAGGGAAAACAAGAGGCCACAGGAAGAGGCTACCCCAGGGGACAGTGCCAGCCTGCCAGGGGAGCAGGGCAGCAGCACCAGAGGTGCTGTGAGCCCAGTGCAGGAAGAAGCAGTGGGGCAGGACTGGGAAGCAGTGGGGCAGGACTGGGACAGCCTTTGCACAGCCCCGAGACCCATCCCTGCACCTTCTCACC